AATCCCCAACCTACTCAAAAGCCTTGAATTTGAGGAACAAGACTAAGCAGACTGAAGTCTTCCTAAAAGCTGTCAGACTGGGGCCACACAGCACCATGAAAACAGAGGGTAATCAGAAGTAATTTCCTTTTTGTCCCTCCCACCCACTGACTGAGCAGCAGGAGACAGTAGGGAAAAAAGAAAACCAAACCCAAACTTGCTGGATGAGCACACAGCATTGGAGAGACTTCAGTTTAGGGCTGCGTTCAGCCAGTTATCTTGTGTGCTAGTGAAGCTAAAATAATGGCTTTTAACAAGACACTGCAAAGCAAAGGAAAGGTTTCTTTGCACCGTTATATTTTTTTCAAAATAGTACACTCCCTCTCATGTACTGTAAATCTCAGAACAATTAAGTCAGTCTCAGAAGACTAAGCCAATATTTTTCTTGGCACAGGCATGATCCCGGGCATTCAATACTGCTGCTCTGATAACGCTGGGATCTGCTGAAAGTCAGTTATAACAGAAATCAACCGAAGTTGTCAAGATGTTATTCCCTGCTAGGGAAGAATCCACCACACAGACATTGGGATTTTCATGTGCTGGCTATTGGGGGTGTGATTACTCCCAGGATCTGGTAAGTCTCAAGGGTTTGCCCTGCTTTCCCAAGAGTAAGTCTGGGAAAAACAAAGTGAGGAGAAGAGAGAGGGCACTGCCCCCAAGACAAACTGCCACCTGAGCCAAGAGCAGCACAACACAGCCCAGCTTCACACCAGATTTCTGTGCTGACCTGCTGCTTTGTGCAGGCCCAATCTTATATTCTTTACTCAATCAGAGCTTCCAGTCTGCTGAAAGACGACTGCAAGATGAATCCTCATGTACCACAGAGAAAGGAATTTCATGACTACCCTACATTTCTAGGTATGTACTTCTACCTACATTGCTTCAAAGACAGTTGGGTTTTGTCTTTACTGCAAGAGTGAGGCAAGTGTCTTCAGCTGCAAAAGACCACAAAAAAAATCTGTCCAAAACAGGAGAACCTAGGGAAGTCCTTATACACAAGCTGTTCTTCCTATTTTCTGGAGAAGATGCATCGGTGTGGAGTTCTAAGTAACTTAAACGCAAATGTGGAGCTTATCTAATTATACCACTGTATTTATTTGCCCTATTTCTTCTAACCTGCCTGCCTTTCATGGTAATAATATACACTGTTCAAATCCAGAAAGAAATTACCACTCACAGAGCATGGATTATTTAGGATTAAGCATGCCCCTGTGTTTGGTTGGTTGGCTGGTGGTAACTGTGATTCTGTACTTAAGTTTCAAAGAGGGTGTGGGGGAAAAGAGCTAAACAAATCTAAGGGGAGTCTGCCAGATTTGTTGCAAAATACACAGATTAGTAGTTCTGGAAAATGTTAGTAACTTATTTTAAGTGATGTAATGCTAGAAAAGAAAAATTAGTCATATCTGAAGTTAGTTAGTAGTTATGAAAAAACAGATTGAAAAATATTGGCAATATGTGCAGGTACCCCGATTTTTTTAGTGGGTTTTTTTATGAACCTCTTCTCCCTTCCTCCTAAAACTCAGAAATTCACAACAACCAAACAAGCAAGGCCAAATTCAGTCTTGCTTTTGAGAAGATACAATGCTGAAGTTGCAGCTGGTAACAGCTTGGCCCATTATGTATAATTAAATTGTTTTGGAACAGTGTGTGCTGTAGACAGGTAATTATTTCAGCCAGCAATATTAATTACATATCTTCCTGACACTGTATGTAGTCCAACATATATGACCGTAACTATTTTGAAAAAATGTGTATTTCAAAGTGTATCAATGAAGCAAATGCAACGCTGATCCATGCAGGTGTAACTAGGCTGTCTAGGTGAGATGGAAAATTAGGCCTGAAGTGCCTGTAAAACACCTTTCACAAAACAGCAAGTTTCCCCAAAGCCTGCCTGCCTGGAGAAACCATGCTGCCTGCCTAGAAATTCAAGTGAATTTACTATCAGGCTTCAGATTAGAATTTATAGTACCTTTTTTGGCTGCTGTTATTAAATACATAGCGTGACCTAGCCTCTGTCATCAGGAAAATGGCACCGAAACTCGTTTAGCATGCATTCAGTATTTAAACACAGAGCAGGATTCAGTTTCCAGATGATTATCTGCATTTCCCCAGAAGGTGAAAATGTCATTTTTGCTCAGTCCTTTACATCTAAATCATTCAGGGAAAGGCACCACAAAAAGAAGCAAGTGCAAGGTATGTGGCAAACTACTTCCAGCATCTGGCTTTGTCACATACATGGTGCCTGGCTTCAAACAGCCCATGAATGCACGTGTCTCAGTTGTTCCAGCTGCAAAACTGGCTTGAATATACTCACCCTCCTCTGACCTGCTGCTGAAAAGCTTTGTGAAAAGCATTATTACAGTGGAATTCAAAGGTGCTATTTCTTACCTGATAATTTGTAATTGCAACATACACACAATTATGAGGGGAGGTGCTTCCATGTGCTGACAAATGCCGTGGGAATCAACGAATAGGGCACAGTTGTTATGCTGTTCCACACATCTAACGTGGGATCGTAGCAGTCCAGCGTTTTGCACCTCTGAATGCCGAAGTAGCCTCCAACCACATACAATTTGTTTCCAGATGCCACTGCGTGGCAGCTCATTCGCTTGGCTGTCACATCTCCCACCTTAGTCCACTGGTATGCCTCACTGTTGAATTTGTAAGCGGAGCACGCGGAGAATTCGGTATCTCCACCCATAATAAAAATCTGGTTACCCAGAACAGCTGCAGCCGTGTAGCGCCAGGGCTGGGGGCAGGTGGCTGGTACTGTCCATCTGTTTTCACACTGATCATAGCACTGAACTTTGGGCAGCTTGTCATGGCTAACACTGGTACCTCCGAAAGCAAACAGCTTAAGCTTCGCGCTGACTACAGCTGCGTTGCTCACTCCCTCTCGCAGTGGGGCAACCATGGTCCATTTGTTGGTCACAGGGTCATATTGTTCTACTTGCTTCAAGGATACTGAAGGGGAAGCTGGAAGGCAACCAGTTGCTGCAGTGTGTCCTCCTACGACATACAGACAGTGCTTAAGTTCAGCAGATCCATGCCCAAACCTAGCTACCAGCATGGGAGCAGCCTTTGACCACTCCTCGTGAAGGGTGTCGTACACCCACACGTCTTTGGAGACTCCGTTTTCCGACCCTCGTCCCCCTGTGATATACACTTTGCAGCCTATGGCACAAGCACTGAACTCTTTCCGTGGACTTGGTATGTCAGCCTTTGGAATGATCTCCTTTGCCTTTTGGTCCACCAGGTATAGCTTGTCACACATGAAGGTTTGGCCACCCAGAAGAAAAAGTGAATGGCCAGTTTTACGGGGTCTGGCACACAAACTAGTAACCACTCCATCATTCTGTAGGATTTTTAACTTGCATCTTATCGATTCTTCTACAATCTCTTTGCTTTTCCTTTGCTTGGTGATGAGTTCTTCCATGGCCACATTCTCCATAAGGTATATGGCTGGCAAGAGGGCCAGTCTCACCGTCTGCAGTAACTCTGGCAGAAAACTGTGACGCTTGCTCAGGTCGTAGTTGACCCAGTTGATAGCCGATTCATATACCAGCCTTTCATCTTCAGTTTCTAATTCTTCACTGGAAAGGAGCTGCACTACCATGTCTTTTGGCAGCTGGAGGAAGTCTTCACTTTTACTGATACTCTGGAAGTTGCTAAGGCACATCCTCCAAGAGAGCTCATACAGCTTGGTGCACTGGTGAGCATCTGACAGCAGCAGCATGCCAAGACAGTTGGTGGGATGAAGGTTTTTCTCCAGAAATTCTGCACAAGCATCCCGAATGTCCTGAAACTCCAACATGTCACCAGCCTCCAGCAGTGATTCCGCATTCTCCTCATTGATGATAACCCTGGAGGAATATGCGTAGTCCAGAAGAAGCTCCAAGACTTCTGGGTGAATTGAATTATGAAAGTTGACTTCACTGTCCTGGCTCTCTTTCAGTCCTCCGCTGAACATTGCTTCAAAATAGCGGCTACAAGCAGCCAGAACGGCTCTGTGGCAGGGGAATGACCTGTTCCCAGCATGGAGAAGTACATCTGTAAAGAGACGCTGCTGACGCAGAAGGTTCAGGTGCGTGAGGACACTATCAGCATAGGATGACTTGTGGAACAAGTATATGTTTATGGAGCCAGTACTGGCCCTAGATTTGCGATTTTCATGCATGCTGACTGACATTTTCTTTCACACCTATAAACAAAAAATTAATGAGACAGTTAAGTTCATTACATAGAAAAAAGTGTATCTATTATGCACCATAAGATGGGAAAAAAAGCCTTAATTTATAGATGAGTGGACAGAGAATTACATCTACATTTGGCATGTGTTTATTTTTTTGTAAGATGAGTTTCATAAATGACATACTCTGAACTTGTTGCTCAAGAGCAGGTTTATCTTGGGAAACCTGATCTCCAACTTTCATACAGTAAGCAAGTAAGCTGGAGGTGAAAGAAAAGGAACCAGGACCGATTTTCTCACCCTTCCCCAGCCTAGACCAGCTGATTCATTACATACATACACATGCACATGCTTGAAACATTCTCCTGTACTGAATCATAGCAGGAAGAGCTACCAGACAGAATACCTAAGGAATGTCAAAAGCTGCATAGAGAACAAAAACCTACTAATCCCATTAGGAAGCTTCCCTTTGGTGTAATGATTCCATATGCAACAGCATAGAATGAAAAAAAGGCAACCTTGAAATAAAAACCTAGCAACAACCATAAATTTACACTTGTGAAACCGCAAAAAAAAATATGATGGGTGAATTTTAGAGATTACATCTTGAACTTTACCAGCAGCCGCCTGCTATAGTGATACAGCACATACATGGGCAGAGTCAGCAGAAAAATGTGTTTTGACTATCAACCGAAGTCACTGAGGCATCGCCTCTGAAGCTACCTTGAGTCAGATACTCAGAACACAAGCTGTTGGTTCATTTTGAGCTTTGTAGGAGGCATAAACCAGAAGACATACCCTATCCTACCCTGTTCCTGACAAACACAATGATGTTCAGTCCCTGCTTGGAGATGAATGCTACTGTTACCTGCCCTGATATGCAGGTCTATGTGTGATTACAGCAGCAAGTTTCCAGACTTAATTAAGGGTCAAGCCAATATAGTATGAAGTAGAAAGAAAGGGAAGAATACTGGCAGCCATATAAAGCTAATGGCCAAAAAGACAGTGCAAATAACAAGAGATGAAGCATGAAGAGCCCAGTGCAAGTTGTGGCTGTGACCACTACTGTAATAATCTCAACTCCTCCCTCTCCAAACTGCAAAGGAACCTTAAGAGAAAGTAGAGAACCAAAATTCCCTAATGACTATGATAATTCATATGCCCAGAGTTCCTTTTACTGCACTTTCAAATGAGGAACAAGGCAAAGCCCACCTGGGAAGCACCCAACGCGCTAAGTCAGAGCATGACCTGGGGCCACCTGTGGATGGTTTTAATGTGGATATACTTCCCTCTCTCATAGATTCCCAACATTTTCATATTCCTGAGCATGTTTAATCCGTGCAGAACTGTACAACACTATTCCCACATTTCATGCCTCCAGATGACGTAAGAGCTTTAAAAGCCTCAGAAAAAAGTTTTTTTAGTAAATATATAATGTATTTTTCTAGATTCATATGACTAGAACCTTCAACAAAACCATATAGGATTAATTTGGGCAGCAGACTCCATTTCAGAACAGGCAATCTCTGTATATGAAATATGCAATACGTGCAGATTAATTGCAGCATAGCCAGTACCACTTCTTGCTAGGTATTCAAATGTACAGAACAATTGATATGTCACATCCAACAGCAAGCTTGTGACACACCTTTTCCTTCAGTCACAGCAAAAAAGCCCCTCAAACCAACATCAGTTCAACTACCATAGCCCATTTACTTTAACCTGAAACATGACTTCTCTGATCATTAACTGGGATTCAAAAGAACAAACACTGCAGTACTCAAACCAAAATCCTCCAAAACAGAGAGGAACCCTTCCCATCAGAGCCACACAGTAGAGTATCTATCTCACTCTGCCATGCAAAAGTTTGGAATGGTATTTTACCAATGCTCCCAAGACCAGCCTATTAAACGTACTAACACTAAGCACAGAACACCTTAAGGAGGCTGGTATGTTTTCTCAACACAAATCCTTTTACAAGGGAAAATAAACTACTTTTAATGCAATTGTATTGTCTGGCAAGTAAAGATTCAGGTTGCATTCAAGGATCCTAAGTACTAATCTCAGACTAAAATTACCCACTTAATCTATAGCCAAAAAGATTATACTGACCATATACATGTTGAAAACTGCTGGAACTGAAGGATTACAGGAAGGGTCATGGATTAAAAACTAGTACACAAACAGTTCAGATACACAGATGGGAAGGGAAACCCTTTACTGGCAAAGCACTCCCTGCGATCTTAAAAAACTTTTCCAGTCACTTTACCATTTTAAATGCCATTATGATACAGTGCAAAGCACTCAGTGGTTCTCTACAGGCTGGCTTTCCTCACACCTCAGACCTACCCCTGCTAGGTTTCCTTGCCAGGGAGCAGGACAAGAGCTAAACACCCACTGATCAGAGGCAACAGAGTGATCAGGATCTGAAGATGCTCACTGCCACCCTGCTCTCCATTCAGAATAACTGAATAAGTAGACAAGACAGTCTAGGCACGTCAGGATCTCTATGACAATACAGTTCCTCTCCTTTCTCCCCACATATTGGGGGAATTAAGAGTACACTGAAAACTTTCTTTTATCATCCACGCAGGGTTCAGAAATACGGCAGGTAAAGTTCAGATCAGAGGCTGCCAGTGCAGGCACTCAGATCTTTCAGCAGGCTTTATATTCCTGCAAGTGCCACCGGCTCAGCATCATTCAGGATGAGACCATAACCACAACAAAATAGAAGCAAACATAAAAAAACACCCTGCAGTTATGCATACACTGGAGGCTAGTGAGCCACTGACTACATGTAGAGGGGAAGAACAGATCACTGCGTGTTGCCCAAGCCCACCCACAACCATAGTAACAAACACCACTGTAAAAAATATATAAATAAAAGCAACAAAAAGCCCTATGAGAGTCATTCTCAAACAGCTACTGAATAGGTCACTCAGCCTTTCACTGCACTAAAAGAGAAGATTTGGTCTTTCACAGAGCAATGTCTTTTCTCACGAAGCACTTGCAGAATTCATATATGCTAGTCTTTAACTGTTCCAGAAATGTTGCTTTTATCATCCCAATGTCATCTATTGAGAAGAATTCGAAGTATGCCAGTGCACATTTAAGATAAGCTAACACATTTCCCCAAACTGAACAAAGATACATATCTGCACATCCTTTTCCTTCACTGTGGTTGCTGAAATGAGTTCACACACGGACTAGTCAAACAAAACACCCTTATAAGCAATTATCATAATTCACTAACAGTCAGTGTTTCTGTAAACATGTCCTTTTGCAGTTTCTGGCAATTAGCTCAGCCCAGAATCTTGCAAGAATATTAAAATGTATAAATGACATCTCTGATTTCCTATTCAGTGTTGGAAATTATGCAAGCCTCAAATACTTCAGTGGAGGCAATTTACAGTCAGTGAACAAATGTTCATCTTGAATAATGAGTCAATTCCCTTCAGGCATTTTTTCCTTAGAAATAATAATATTTTTATGTAAAAGACAAGAAGTGGTCAGAAAATTACAGATATAGATTTTATCTAGGAATGGAGGTTGAACCAAGACTTTGATTTATAATTACACTTGAACAGGCTACTTGTCACAGCGGCCAAGTAGTAAACACTACTTTAAGACTAAATAACAGGCTCCCTGCCCTACTTCTTAACAGCTTTGCAGTGTGCAGGTCTCAGCCTAAATCAAATGAAAAATAAGTATTTTCAAATTACTGACACATCCCTGATGTAGGCGCATTTTAATACGACTCTGTAATTACATGGTGGTGGTGGTTGCGTTTTTGTTTAGAATCAGTGAAAACTGCTGAAGGGGAGGAAATCTTCTAAACATCCCGTCGATTTAACTAACGCCACTTTCAACTGCTAAACCTCCAGCGGTACTATCAGTCTTGTAAAGCCAAACCCTGACTCTACCTAAAGTCCTCTAACACAAACTCAGTGGCTTCCTAGAACCTGCCGCGAGATGCAAAGCAGAACACGCTGCCTCTGCTAGGAACGCACTACTGCTCACCACATGCAAACAAAGAAACCTAACTCTAAATTCCCCCCAGCTCACCCCATCACAAAGCCTAAACAACTCCGTCTCTTAATAGAAACTTGCTGGGTTTCTTCCCGATATGATAAATAAATAGTACGAGAAGTTAAAATGCGTTCGAGTTCCTCTGTAGAGCGATAACCACGTGTGAAAGTTTCTGTGCCAGCGCGGGGAGAGCAGCAGCCGGCTCCGGG